AAAGTAAAAAAAAATTGGAAAATTTTAGATAATTTAGATATAATTATTTTTTAAAAAAAAACTGAAACATAGTAACTAAGTGATTACACATAGTATTTAATATTTACATATACTTCCTCTGTTTCATATTAAGTGTCACTTTAAATTTATTTTCTTGTTTCAAAATAATTTTTATTCTACAATTTAAATGTAATTTTTTACATTAAATTTATGTTTTACCTTTCGAAATAACCAATATTATATTTAAATAATTTTCATTTAATTAATTATGCATTAAATAAATATATTTTATTCCATTAAAAATGTTCTTAATCTCAATTAAAAATGTCATATTGAAACGGAAAGAGTAATAGAATTTTCATTAATTAAAACCTCTTGTATCAAGACAAATAAGAATTGTTCATAGTTTATCAAAGTGAGGATAGTTATAATGTTAGTTATAAAGTTTTCAATAGTTTTCTTATTTAAAATTAATAAATTAAAAACTGAGCTAATAAGTAATAAATCATAATAAAATAAACAAAATCTGAAATTATAGAGAACATGACACATTTTCAAATCAGTTTAGAAAATATAGAAATACTTGTAACTATTTTAATTTATTTATTTGCAACAACGAAACGGAATACATATTTAGAAAATATAGAAATACTTGTAACTATATGTATCTGTAAAATACGTGTAAACGGAATATATATATTTGCAACAACGAAACGGGCCAAAATGTTATTGGGCCTATTTGCTTATCAGACTGGGCTTCTCAGTTCGCGTTTCGCTTCCCCAAATCACTACCGGGATTGTTCATCGATTGTGATTGTAGTGTTAGTAGATCCGGACTTTTTCGTTGATAACCGGTGGATCCAATCGATTCTTGGATCGGATCTGATTACTCTCCTGCTCTGTCTCGCTCGCTGAATCGTCTTTTGCGGAAGCTATTGTGCTCTCAGATTTGTGATTCGTTGTTTAATTGATCTTCGAGGTTCGTCGTCAGAGAGAGATCGAAATGTTACGCGCGAGAGCATTTCGGCAGACCAATGGTAAGATCGTGAAGATTCAGGTGCATCCGACTCATCCATGGATTGTTACGGCTGATGATACGGATCACGTCTCCGTCTGGAACTGGGAGCATCGTCAGGTAGAGATTCTGTTTCCTTTTTTTTTGTTTTAATTTTAATTTAGGTTTAGCTTCTGTTCACGAATTCGAGCTTATTTGGCCATTTTTTGCAGGTGATTTATGAATTGAAAGCAGGTGGAGTCGACGAGCGCCGTTTAGTTGGTGCTAAGTTAGAGAAGCTCGCCGAGGGAGACTCTGGTGAGAGCTATGATCAACTTCTTCCGTGTAAATTTTCGTTATCAGGATAATTAGTATGCGGTTAATAACATTCATGTTTTTTTGCTTAGACTATAAAGGCAAACCTACTGAAGCTATTAGAGGAGGAAGGTAATACATTTTAACCGTCCTGTTATTCTTACGCGAGAATTAAAAAAAAAATGATAATCAGCTGAGATCTTGTTTTTTTTTTTGCATTTATAAGTGTTAAGCAGGTGAAGTTTTATGACGATGATGTGCGTTATTGGCAACTGTGTCGCAATCGTTCTGCAGCTGCTGAATCTCCATCTGCTGTTAATCATCTCACGTCTGGTTTCACTTCTCCTGCTCCGTCGACTAAAGGCCGGCATTTTTTGGTAATCTGTTGTGAGAATAAAGCTATTTTCTTGGATTTGGTTACAATGCGTGGCCGAGATGTGCCGAAGCAAGAGCTTGACAACAGGTCGCTTCTTTGGTAAGTTTCATTTCCCTTTTCTCTGAGTTTAGATCATGGTTTGTTTTGACATATCTAGTCTGCTAATACCCGTGTTGCTTTAATCCTGGAAAGATCACATTAGTTATTAGTGCTGGAAATGTTCGAATCAAATGTAGACTATGAAAAGTTTGTGTGTGTGAGATTTAGACTTCTTCTTCTCCATAAAGTTGTTAGAATTTCTCCTTTCTTTGCAGCATGGAGTTTCTTACCAGATCATCTGGTGGTGATGGCCCTTTAGTTGCATTTGGTTCAACTGACGGTGTCATTAGGGTTTTATCAATGATAACATGGAAGGTATGCTTGTTCCAAAATTTGAATGTTTATTTAGTTTTTGTGCTGGGTTTAAGGTGAGAGCTATAGGCACCGATCTGTGTTAACTTCCCTGAATGTTTACTTCCTTGCAGCTTGCACGTAGATATACAGGTGGTCATAAGGGATCAATTTATTGCTTATTGAATTTCATGGCATCATCTGGCGAGGTAGCTACATATTCTCTCAACTTCCCATTCTTTAATTTAGAGAAATACACGCAAGGTCACCTGCTATGCTTGACTGGCATATTAAACAGAACGTTATATTTGGCATGTTGTCTTGGGAGTTATTACGTTTTCTTTTCGTTTCTTAACATCGATTTCTAGTAAGTGAGGAGACATACAATTTAAAGATCTACTCTTTTTTTTTTCTGTAACACAAAGATCTACTCTTAGTCTCTTACTTTCATATATAATAGATTGCATAGTTGAAGTTCATTTGTTTTTATGATATGTTTGGGATAACTTCCATGCACAGCCTAGCATTGGGAGCGGAAGGAATTTAGACATGGGCATCTATTTTCTAAATTGTTGTTTACTACTCTACATTAATTCAATATCCTGATTAGATTTTAGTTGTACTAACGACTACCTTTTTTTTATAATTGAGCGATTGTTAATCAACGATTATCAACTATTTTCTATCTGTTATTTATATTCAATACATGATACCAGCCATTCTCTATCTTCTTGCAATTGCAGGGACTCCTTGTTTCGGGTGGTAGTGATGGCTTACTTGTACTGTGGAGTGCCGATCATGGCACTGATTCACGGGAACTTGTACCCAAGCTTAGCTTAAAGGTACTTATTTCAATCCTACTCGTTCATAGAAAAACTGGCTAGATTTGGTTACAGCTGAGGCCAAGGTACTATTGTTCGTTTCAGTATACCTGAGTTGATTTGTGCATCTGTTTCTGAATGTTGGTTATTTAAAAATTGGATTTTTTTCTTTGATCCTTTTGTGATTAACAGGCTGAGTAATGATTAGCGTAGTATGACATGTTCTTGTTTGCTTAATTAACTCTAAAAATTTCACTTCTCTGTTGTACTATTTTGTCCTTCCAGATATGGCTTTGTAAAAGCTTTTGCTCAATCTCTTATGAGATTTTTGTTCTTACTGAATTAGGCACATGATGGTGGTGTGTTGGCTGTTGAGTTGTCACGGGTAAGTGGCAGTGCTCCACAATTGGTTACAATCGGTGCTGACAAGACATTGGCCATATGGGACACAATGACATTTAAGGTAAAGTTATATCTCATGTATGGGTTTTGCATATTTTATGGATTTATATTCTCAACGCACATGTCTACTTTTTCTCTACAGGAGCTGCGGAGAATTAAACCTGTCCCGAAGCTAGCTTGCCACAGTATTGCATCCTGGTGTCACCCTCGAGCACCAAACCTTGATATTTTGACATGCGTTAAAGATTCACACATATGGTATCCTTGATTAAACATTTCGTAATATCTGTGGTGAACATCTTTATGTATATTAGAGAAGTATCTAATTTTTTTTTTTAATTCACAGGTCTATTGAGCATCCAACTTATTCGGCTTTAACAAGGCCATTATGTGAACTTTCTTCCTTGGTTCCGCCTCAAGTACTTGCAATCCACAAAAAACTTAGGGTAATTTGATCTTAACTACTTGCTTATTTCTGAGTTTAACGAAGCAAACGCAGCACTAGTGGTTGTTAAATTTTTCTTATTGTTGATGAAATCCTTGGAATCTACCATATATCATGTCATTTCCTTCTGCATCGGCTAATTGTATGCTACGTCAACGATTAGTTTTTTTTTCCTTTTATTATGTCACTAATTCAAACACAAGCCTGAGCATGAGAAATTGTCTCTTAGACTTTGAAAGAATTGCATCTCCATTCCATGTGCCCCAGAGAACAGTATTTTCTATTCATGTATCCGCAAAATGCATCTATCATGGTTAAACTAATGAAGTTAATCATCTGTACAGAACTGCACTTGGCAATGCAAATATATTCGGACTCAGCCAGACTAGGAATAAGAATAGATTGCATTGTTTGATAATTTGTTACTTCTTGCAGAAAAGATCCATGTATAGATAACCCTAACCATCTTTAAAAGCAGAATTTATATTGATAGCTGTTTTGAACACTGAATGCATCATAAAACACATCTCATGTGAGAAAGTAAGTAATTTTATATTGTAAAGGATGATCGAGAAAAGACATGGTGCACCCAAATTTCTAAAGTTATTTTTCAGAATGTGCCAATGATATTCTGGGTTTATTATCTAGTTGAACTGCCAGTTGATTTTCCAAGTTTTTATTGCTTTATTATAGTAGCGTCGCTTCTATACTTCGTTTTCTTTGGTGGCTTTAATACTTTGGTGGTTTCCCAGATTAGTTACTTCTTTTAGTTTCATTGTTTCAGGTCTATTGTATGGTTGCTCATCCTCTTCAGCCACATCTCGTCGCAACTGGTACCAATCTTGGTATTATAGTTAGTGAATTTGATCCTCGTGCCATCCCGTCTGCAGCTCCTCTACCAGCACTGCCTGGAAGTCGGGAGAATTCAGCTGTATATATCCTTGGAAGAGAATTAAAGCTATTAAACTTTCAAATATCCAACTCAGCCAACCCATCCCTTGGAAATAATAGTGCCTTGTCCGAATCAGGAATGTCTAAGGGAGACTCAGGTGACCAGTTGACTGTAAAGCAGACCAAAAAGCAGATTGTGGCACCTGTTCCACATGATTCATACTCGGTACTTTCTGTAAGCAGTTCAGGAAAGTAAGTTTCCAGTTCTTTTCTTCGGTCTTATAGTAATATCATTATATTAAATATTTTGTTATAGCAATGCTGTTCGTAACTGTAAATAAATCTTCTGTCTTTCATTGTTTACCTGTTATACGGTGACATGTATTGTAATTGTACTTTTAAGTTTCGTGCATGTTTTGTTTCATGCTTGTTGGTTTTGTATACCGTGGGGATTTACCACATCAGATGCTATGGTAGACAGGGAAGAGAAAATGGCATTCAAGTGTCAACCATTTAGCTTAAGTCGTTCTTTTCCGAAATATAAATTTTTAGATAACTCCTCGCTAAATATATTTATGTACGTAGTTTTGTTTAGTGCTATCTTTTGTTTAGCCAGCTAACATTATTCTCTGGTTGTAGGTATGTGGCAGTTGTATGGCCTGATATCATGTACTTCTCTATCTACAAGGTTAGTGACTGGACCATTGTTGATTCTGGAAGTGCAAGACTTTTGGCTTGGGATACTTGTCGAGATAGATTTGCGATACTAGAATCTGTATTACCTCAAAGGATGCCTGTAATCCCAAAGGGTGGTTCATCAAGAAAGGCGAAAGAAGCCGCTGCAGCCGCAGCTCAAGCTGCTGCTGCTGCTAATGCAGCTTCATCAGCTAGTGTCCAAGTTCGTATCCTCTTAGATGATGGAACCTCAAACATTCTCATGAGATCTGTAGGAGGTCGCTCTGAACCGGTATGTGTCTTTTACATGAGTTATTGCATTCCGCAATCATTTTTGATGTGTCTAAGTTTCATCTCTCATATCCATTTCATCATTTTTTTCGTTTATCTTAGATTCTCTTTATGTATTCTCGAGCTATCTTTTGAAGTGGTTGCATTGAATAGTTTATCTAAAGTAAAGATTCTCCTAAGAATTCGAGTGAACTTTGCATTGAATATATCGAAAAACTACTACAGATAAACAAAAGTAAAACTTGAATCCAGTTGTTTATTATATATTACGTTCCACCAAAAGGACAAGGTTGATGAACATGAG